TACACCGGGTACGTGAGGGCGCGTGACCGTCACGTGGCCGGAGCGCCGCGGCTTAGGCCGGAGCGACGGCAGGCGCGCGGCCGAGAGAGCCGCAGCTAGAGAGAGAGAGAGCGAGCGAGAGAGCTTCGGAGCGCGCGGCGTGATACCGTCTCTCTCGCTCTTCACGTCTTGGAGAGAGCGCGAGAGAGAGAGAGAGATAGACTGTTTCGGAGCGCGCGCGACGGCTTGTTGTCTTGTAGCGCGGTCTCACTCCCGCACACGGAGTTTTTCTACTCTAAACGAGAACGCGTAATTAGCGTATTTCTCTTGCCGCGGATCACTGCGTTTTTAAATTTACTGCCCCGATATAGGCACACGAGGCAGAAATTGTCAATTGTTCGAATAAGGTACGAAACGAAGGAGCCCGTTCTTTTCGCGATTTCACTATCACTCGATCGGTTTTTAATATCCGGCTCGAAGGACCATTTTTATATGTATAAGATTTAACGTTGTAGGATGCCGGGTTAACGTGATCAAATAATTGTACGCGTTTTGAAACGGTTTAATTTAGTTTATTCACTTTCTACAAGTTCGTCGCGTACCTAGACTTATGTTTCTCGGCGCTCGCTCTCTCGAGGACTGACTCGAGGGCTGCGCGAATTTCGGAGCTCGCGTAGGGCGGCAGCCGATCGGGGTCCTCGATTGGACCATCGGAAAATCAGGCGATGTACACACGCCAATTAGCGGCGAGTGTACACGTTGGTTTCACGTGTTTCCTTGGCGTAAACACTAAGGAATTTAACAAAAAACATTCTAGAAAATTCGATCGTCCTCGAGGATTCGATCCGAAGAACGAATCTTCAACAAATTGAAAAATATAAAAGAATTTTAATCTCATAATTTTAATAAAAATTATTTTTAATTCAACAATTTAAAGTAAAATTAATTTTAATCCAACACTTCAAATCAAGTAATATCAAAATAATTTTAATCAAATTAAAATTAATTTAAATTTACAATTATAGTTAAAATTTATTTTTTAATCAAATTAATTCGAATTAAAATATAATTTTAATTAATTAATTTAAATGGAAACTAACTTTAAACTAATAATTTAATTAAAATTAATTTTAATTTAATAATCTAATAATAAGTTAAAATTAATCTTAATCAAAATAAAAATTACTTTTAATCTAGATGTAAGTAAAAACGATTTAAACAAAAGCTAATTTTAATTAAATAATTTAAATCACAACTAATTTGAATCAAATAAAAATTAATATCAATTTAAGTTAAATTTTAATCTAATAAAAAATCCAAATTACAATCAATTGCAATTAAACAATCTATCATAATCAATTTCAATTTAATTCAAATTTCAATCCAATAATACAAGCCTCAAAATCAATGTTAATTCCTCTAATCCAAATCACAATAATTAATTTAATTCAATCAAATTTTTATCGCTAATAATTCAAATCATCAATTTCAGTCCAACAATCCAAGTAACAACCAATTTCAATTTACAAGTCAAATTTCAATTCATTTCAGTCCAACAATCCAGGTAACAACCAATTTCAATTCACAAGTCAAATTTCAATTCAATAATAATTTCAAATCAATAACTACTCACAACCAATTTCAAGTCAAGTTTATTTTCAATCTAATAATCCAAATCACAATTAATTTCAGTCTAATCCAAGTCACAATCAACTTCAATTCAAGTAATGTCAAATCCATTCAATTTTATATCAAATAAAATTCAATTTTGGTAAAAATAAAATTAATTTAATTTTAACGAAACAATTTTAATTAAATCTAGTTTACAATTTTTTTTAATTTTAATCTTAATATTTTTATTTTATTTATTTTTTATTATTTTTTATTTTATACTTTTTAATTTTTTTATTTAATTTAATTTTAAATTATTAAATTAATTGTTCATAATTTAAACTAATTTAATTAAATAATTATATCATCAAAACAAATCAATTTAACAATAAATTTAATCGCAATTAATTTTAATATAATTTAAAATTAAAACTTTTTAATATAATAATTTATAATAAAATAAATTTTAATCTTAAAATTTAAATTAGAATCAATTAAAATTAATTGTAATTAATCCAAAAATTAAATTATTAAGTTAATTTTAATTTAATAATTAATATTAAAATCGATTTTAGTATAATAACAAAAAATTAAAAAGAACTTTATTTTAACTGAATCTAAATAAATTTAAATTTGATAATATATATATATGATAATGTAATATATATATATATATATATATATATATATATATATAAAAGCAGAATAATACATTTTTATACATATATAAAATTTAAATAATTATTTGGAACAAACTATATGACAATTTTGGTGTAAAAAAAGATATAAAAAAAGGATTATTCTTTTCTTTATATATTGTCTCTCTCTCTCTCTCTCTTCCCCCCCCCATCTAATTCAATCTTCCACTCTCTATCTTCTTCTCTTGATGAAAAATCTTTTTCTCTATATCGTTTTTATTTCT